AGTAACGCAGATCATTTTGAATGATGAGAAGGTAGATGTTGAAAAATCTAGTTGAATTGTGTCCTTCAATCTTGATCGTAACTTTAAACAACTCTTCACTAACCCGCAGCACTTCGCATCCTATCTGACGTCCTTCAACGAGAAGTTGAGCACCAATGGGATTACTTCTGAGGTTGAGATTCTCGCATGGATTGCAATACACACTGGAAATAGTATCGAGTGGTGAAATCATTTCATTATCGAGCAACATGATTGTCTTCATTTCAAATTTTCAACTTTAGCTCAATGCTGAGCGCTTTCCTTAAACCGTTCGCAGACTTGCTGTTATTACATCTCGTTGAACACTGTTATTATCGTTTGATTTGATTTTTCAGTTGTTACGAAAATTTTGTTCAAGGTAACAGCAGTGGCTAATGAGCATGGTAATATCACAACTGAAGTTAGTAGTACCATGAGCCTAGCCCACCACATCCTGTCTCAGGATCAGCATCGTGACATGATTCTGGAGGTACACTTGTATCTGCGTCGGTGGAGATCGCCAAATACACTGTCAAATCATTTATGATCGCTTCAGAAACAATCGCTTCGCCCTGAACAGAAGTGTTCTTTCAAGATATCATTTTGAAAAATTGTGAATGTTCGAAGGACTGACCATACTTGAATGTTATTATTGGATAAGCTACATAAATAATTCAAAATCTTGTGAACTATCAAAAAAGGAGTTGTAAATTTCTTAACGTATCCAATCAATCAAAAAATATTAGCAACAGATATGGAATGGTGGAGAATTTTCATGCTTGAATATGTTTCATGGATTCATTGATACAATCCTATCATCTGATCTAATCATTCTCCTTGAAAGATACCAGCTTGCAAGGCCAAATAGTTCCACTGATGTGGAACGCTAACTAATGTTTTACGTTGAGCAGTTTCCGAGTCTGAGAAGATGAATGCTGTTGAAGTGATTCTTTCCATCAACGAACCAACATTCAAGATATCATTAGAACACAATGATGAAATTGATGAAATCACCTTAATTGAATAACAGTTCGGTTTCGTTGGATCTTGAACCAATTGTGCTCCTTGTTCACTGTCGCCACCTTCGAACAGCAATTTCCGTTTCCATGTACTTCCTCAAATCTTGTCTTATCACCAATTGTTGAAAGAATACTAGTGTTCGTAATTTGATCAATATTTCTCGAATATTTCGACAGCTGATCTTTACTTGAGCGAAATTCAAAAGCAATATGTTTGTGAGTGACGAAATAATATCTCTAAGAGATCCGGCTTCTAAGAAATTTTGCTTTTGCTTCAGCGTTATTGAGGAATTTTGTTAAACGGTCAATGATTTCACTCTGTGACATTAAGTATTCATCAATCAGATGCATGAGACTAATAATGTTCAGTGATAATTTCTCAAAGTATGCCACCTAAGAGGTTAAGCAATTTCTGCTGTAAGCGGCCAAAATGGCTACAAACTCACGTTCAGACCAAGGACAACTCTGATGGCGTATCAAGTTTAGCTGTATGTTTTGAGCATTTGTTGTGGATGCCAGAATGCAGAAGAACACAATACATAATATTGCGATCATTGTAGAAAGTTCGAATGATTTGATAGGATCATTAGCAAAAAGTAATCTAAGAACACTGATTGTAGTGAATAATTGCGATTCCTGAAAAAATTAATATGAAGATCTGGAGAAAAGTTTCATTCAAAAACAATTATTCCTCCATAGGTTTATCACATTCGTTTCATTTCTTGCAGTTGAGTGGAATGAAGCTACAAATGCGTATTTTCAAGATATAATACACATTTACGATTGCATTACTACGCATCAAGTTAATACAACAACTCAGGAGAGTCTTACGGGCATTTCGCGATCACCTTAAGCGAAATGAATGTTTCGAAATTCGCACAAAACTGTTTAGCATTTATTGCAGAATAGAAATTTCCCAGAATTCACT